TTCGATCATTTGCGCTGATGTCTGTTTCAATGTGGGAAGCGTTACAAACTGATCGGATCGGCAAAGCGTGTTTCTGGAATATTATGTTTTTGTTCCTGCAAGCGCTTTTTATGCAATTTTTGCAAAGCTATATGTGGAAGGAAACTCCTCTGGTTTCATATGCAAAAAAAATTATTGTGCTAGCTTACGCGGTTCTGGTTCTACAGGGATTTAAAAATAGTTATGCAAAACCATGAAGAAACCAGCTGTTTTGTTCACATTGTCTTCTTTTTTTTAAAAATAACTGGCTAACACTCTCTAACACCATTCTTTTTTTCTCAGGAATTTTACTATATGAAGCAAGTAAATACTGTACAGTGGAAGAATACATGCATACATGGATCAAAGACAAACGTGTTTTTTAGGAAATTAAGTATTTAATAATGCTGATAAAATGATTTTTTTCAACTATCTGGGGGAAGTGTATACTGATTAAAGAGCCTTGGTCTTATTGTGAAATTAAATTGCAGTTAGAGAGAGATTTAAATAATAATAAAAATAAAAATGATAATTTCAAAATTGATATTCACTCATGTATTCATTTTGTTATTTCACAATTCTTTTTTAAATGGTGGAGACTTTACGTGCAGTAAATGGACGTTATGGTACTATATCTAGTGTGGGTGTAATATAATATTATTTTCTGCCTCAGCATGCATTTTACATGATCAAATTTGTAATTCAAAAAAACTTCACAGTTGAGCTAAAGCATTACAGTATGAGCAGCCACAGACAACGTCTTTAGGCATCTGCGATGTAACATAATGATTACACTGTACCAGCTGCATTGTCAGAAATGTTTCTCCCAAGCTACTGTTTTCTTTGTGTTCTTTTTACAAAATACTGATTGCACTTCCTTCCTTTATACGCTGAGCTATCATCAGGGACTACTCATTATGTTATTCATACAACAGTACCTTATTCATATAGCAAAATTACCCTTGGCCGCATTAGTATACATTACTGGTAATTAATACTGTCACAGTGGCACCGATTCCCAATAGTCAGACTATTCAAAGAATATTATTTTACTGTTAGCATCCTGCTTAACTCTAATGATTCCCACAACCTTTCCGCTCTCAAATCCATCCTGCAGGCCTGAGCCTGATGCCCAGCTCAGCGCTTGTTGAGCTGCTGCACCGGGTGGAAGTCGCCATCCGCGAGTACTCAGAGGAGCTCGTCAGCCAGCTGGCTCGTCGTGATGAGCTGGAGTTTGAGAAAGAGGTGAAGAACACATTCATCACGGCACTAATGGAGGTGCAGAACAGGCAGAAGGAGCAACGAGACAGCAGCAAACGCAGACGTCGGGACAAGGCCATGAGCCTGCAGGGGGGAGGGACGGTGCCCGTGAATGCAGGCAACGATAGCTCCACAGGCCAGAAGACAGGGACCATGCTTGTTAAGGTGGGTAATGGTGCTAATCTCAAATATTAACAATATGAGGCATTTTATGAATGTGCTGATTTCTTTTTTAAACCTTTCACTGTAAATTACAGAAAGGTAAAATGAGAATGCCCGCAAGCCCTTCCTTTCCCCATCCTCTTTAACTGTTAGTATAATGGATATCTAAAGGCCATTAGCCTCTAAATTATCTACCAGGAAAGATTATAAAGTGGCTGTGACCCATCATCTATGTACAGTAACTGCCCAGTGCAGTCCTATCCAGCAAAAGAGAAACTGCCTAATGGATTTCCTCTCCATTCGATGTAGCAGCAGTCTGTGAGTCTGGCTCTTGGTGCCTTACTCTCTGTTACTGAACTAATATGAGCGTACCGATGGCTTAAGGAAGTGGATGCAATATATACAATAAATTGCACAATGATACCATGCTGAAATCTGCTGAAGAATAATAAAAAAAATGAATTTTGTCATATGAATTGGTAGTTTGTAATAATGGTCACTATATCTTTGTATGTGTGTGTTTGTCCTACAGCGTTTCAGCATGGAGGGAATTTCCAACATTCTACAAACAGGCATCAGACAGACATTTGGAAGCACAGGGAATGACAAGCAGGTAAGGTTTAAATGTTTTAAATAAAAAACAAAAAAACCCAAACAAACATGCACAGATGAGCCAACCCATTATGAATACTCACAGATGGAACAAATTATATAATGACATATTTAGG